ACATTTTGAATGATAAGAAAATTATTCAAGTCGATTCGGGCAATGATTTTGTTGTCATTCTAACTGTTGAAGGACTAGTGTATCTAGCCAAGAGAAAGCAAACGAACAAAAATTTGCGATTGATCTCCACCGGTAATGATCGTTTTGAAATGATAGCATGTGGACAGGATCATTTGTTGTTGTTACGACAAGATGGCACTGTTTTCGCTTTGGGATATAATCAATCTGGTCAATTGACCGGTAATTCACATTCATCGTATGATACTCTCGTGAATACTGGTTTGAAAAATGTCAAAATAATAGCTGGTGGAGGNTTTGCGATTGATCTCCACCGGTAATGATCGTTTTGAAATGATAGCATGTGGACAGAATCATTTGTTGTTGTTACGACAAGATGGTACTGTTTTCGCTTTGGGATATAATCAATATGGTCAATTGACCGGTAATTCAGAGTCATCGTATGATACTCTCGTGAATACTGGTTTGAAAAATGTCAAAATAATAGCTGGTGGAGGAGGCCATAGTCTTGCTCTCACCAATAATAATCAAATTTATTCCTGGGGCTGGAATTATTATGGACAGTTAGGTCTATGGGATAGGAATGATCGAAAAACACCTTCACTGGTTTCATTTCCTGATGGTTCGATAGATAGTTCAATCAAAAATATTGTGGCCGGCATATTTCATTCATTATTTTTATTGGAGGATGGTCAGATTTTCGGATGGGGTTATGGTCAGCAAAATGCAAAGGTGCAAATTGAAAATGTGCAAAGTGTGGTTTGTAAGAATGATCTCAATTTTTCATTGGCTTTGGATCAGTCATCACATTATTATGTATTGGGTATGATGAATAATGGAGTATCGTTACCACCCAAAAAATTGGATGGTCAACCGAAATCATTTGCCGAAGCATCAGCATTAATAAACGAATCACCAATGACTTTTGGCCTGACATCAACTGTGAATGTGTCGCAATCAAATAATCCGAAATCATTTATTGAAATATCCGAATTATTCAATAATCCAATATCATTGATTGGATTATTGAATAATCCGGATAATTATGATGTCGAGTTTGTTATCGGCAATAAACATATATTGGCTTCAAAGTGTCACCTGAAAATGTCATCCCATTATTATAGTCGGATGTTTTCAGGTGATTGGAAGGAAAATAGCAAAGTGGTCATCAAAGATTNAATAATGGAGTTTGGTTACCACCCAAAAAATTGGATGGTCAACCCAAATCATTTGCCGAAGCATCAGCAATGGTAGACAAATCACCAATGACTTTTGGCCTAACATCAACTGTCAATGTGTCGCAATCAAATAATCCGAAATCATTTATTGAAATATCAGAATTATTCAATAATCCGATATCATTAATTGGATTATTGAATAATCCTGATAATTATGATGTCGAGTTTGTTATCGGTGATAAACGTATATTGGCTTCGAAATGTCACCTGAAAATGTCATCCCATTATTATAGTCGAATGTTTTCAGGTGATTGGAAGGAAAATAGCAAAGTGGTCATCAAAGATTATCATTATGATGTCTATTACGCATATCTACGGATGTTACATACTGGCCAAATCCGAATCAATCAATCCAATATAGGCCAACTTATCGATTTGGCCAATTGTTATGGTGATGAACAATTAATGAAACATTGTCGAACATTCATACGAAACAATCTGAATGAACGAACATTATCTACTTATCTTCCCTTGATTGATAAATATCAACTTGATGAAATGAACGATAAACTTGTTCAGCTAACTATCGAAAATGTTTTACCAAAAAACAAGAAAAATATTGCAAAATTTTTGCTATTGTTTTCTGAACAAAAATCTCTTTAAATGAAAAGAATAGTAATTTGTATTCGATTAATAAAGAAAAAAAATTTTTTAAATTGTTGTTAAAATAGCATACATTACTTGGATGATAATTGAAATACATCAAATCAATCAGCAACATTTCAGAACAAAGCATGTTTTGGAAATATTATTTACATAGATATTAATTATCAATCAATTTGATCAATAAAGTATGACCAGATCCTTGGATACTCCAAACGTTTCAATCGATTTTTTTTGGATGGGTGCTTGATTGAACACACACTGTTATTTAAAAACTGTCTTGCTTTTGGCAGCAGTGTTTACATTACATTTTGTGATTTTTTTGAATAATTTTTTTTGTTTTGTTGAAAATAAAATTTTAATTTTCGATAATAATGAAAAAATCAACAACTGATATTTACGTGGATATTGAATTATTTCAACGTGATATAAAAGATATTGATCAAGAATTTATTCAAAGTATTGAATCGATTTATAAAATATCCACATTCGCTAATGAAGTTGGTTTTCTATTTATGACCAACGATGCTAACTATGTTTACGGTAATAAAATATGCAAATGGCTATCGTTACAACATGATCCTAAACGACCACAACAGATTCACATTTTGAATGATAAGAAAATTATTCAAGTCGATTCGGGCAATGNTGATGGACTAGTATATCAAGCCAGTGGTGATTCAGATTGGCAAACAAATAATACTTTGCGATTGATCTCAACCGGTAATGATCGTTTTGAAATGATAGCATGTGGATTCATTCATTTGTTGTTGTTACGACAAGATGGCAATGTTTTCGCTTTGGGAAATAATGATTTTTTTCAATTGCCCGGTAATTCAGAGTCATCGTTTGATACTCTCATGAATACTGGTTTGAAAAATGTCAAAATAATAGCGTGTGGATGGCGCCATAGTCTTGCTCTCACCAATAATAATCAAATCTATTCCTGGGGCAGGAATGACAGTGGACAGTTAGGTCTAGGGGATACAAATGAACGAAAAAAACCCACACTTGTTTCATTTCCTGATGGTTCGATTGATTGTCCAATCAAAAATATTGTAGCCGGCCAGCTTCATTCATTATTTTTATTTGAGGATGGTCAGATTTTCGGATGTGGTTATGGTCAACATCCTATTAATGATAACAAGCAAAATGCAAAGGTGCCGACAAAAATACCAATTGAAAATGTGCAAAGTGTGGCTTGTAAGAATCTTCTCAATTTTTCATTGGCATTGGATCAGTCATCACATTATCATGCATGGGGTTGGCTGGATAATAGATTCTCGTTATCACACAAAAAATTGGATGATCAACCGGAATCATTTGCCGAAGCATCAGCAATGGTAAGGAAATCACCAATCACTTTTGGCCTAACATCAACTGTCAATGTGTTGGAAGTGAATAATCCGATATCATTAATTGGATTATTGAATAATCCGGATAATTATGATGTCGAGTTTGTTATCGATGATAAACGTATATTGGCTTCAAAGTGTCACCTGAAAATGGTATCTGAATATTATAGTCGAATGTTTTCCAATGATTGGAAAGAATATAAAC